TATCAGCAGTCATGTTCTACCCTGGAACAAGAATAGTAGAAAAGAAAACATCAAAAAGGTGTGCAATAGGTGTTATTTCATTGTACACTCAGTGAGCTGGGCTTTTGGGATTGTGAGAGCCCTTCAAAACCTGGCTCTGAGGAGGTAGCTGAACTGGCCGCTTGGTAACTTGTGTTAGTGTAGTTATTATCTATTTTATGAGTAGTGCTGGTGTTGTAGTAATTATCAATTTTTAGTCTTGTTTTTATCTTTCCATAATTAGTAAAGTTCATTAGCTGAAAACATAAAATTATTTTGAATTGGAGCCTTAGTAAATGATTGTTTAGTTAAGCTTTTTTCACAAGAGGAGTAATTCAAGCTCTAGTTGGACAATACATGCAAATATAACTCTAGACAAACTTTTTAGGTGGGCAAAAACAGTATCTATGTTGCAATATTCTTAATCTGTGCACACAAATACAGTCAAGAAAGGAGAGCTCAGATTTTCATCTTGGTCCATATATGCAGAATGCCTTTATTTGGATTATTAAGCCTTTGGTGAAAGAATGTTCTTTCTAATTCACCATGGATCAGTGAGATACATGGAATTGACAGGCACTTTGCATTCAGCCAAGACATTCGTGTTCCTTTGGATAATGAATCAACTATAAACCACCACTTTTGTCACATGCAAAACCTGTTAGTCTTCCAGCAGTGTAAGCTGAAAGGCTTCCTTGAGGCTCTTAACAAGCAAGATAACTTGCTGCATTGCTTGCATAAAAGCAACTGTAGAGAAAATAGTGGATGCAGTATTTGGCAACAAAAAGGGTCCTCAGAGAAGACTCCTTGGAGCAGCTCTACATGGAATGAAGAGAGAGTGCACTGCTCTGTAGTTTTTCTGTCAACAATGCTGGAAAACAGGACTGAAAAACTCCTGGAAAGAGAAGGATCTACCAAAGAATATTCCACTGGAAGAAACATCATAGCTAGTCCTAGGAATCAGTGAACTGTGACAATTTTCTCACTGACTTTGTGCTCTCTGAACCAAAAATTCTGAAATGATGTTTGTCCTTATGGTAGTCAGCTTGAATGGATTAAAATCAATGGAAAGTTTGTTCCAGCAGCCAGCTTTCAAATGTGATGTTGTCAATGTGGTCTAATTCAGATAAATGCTGACAGATACTTGAGCTTTCAGGTGATATCTACAGGAATTTTGCTAAGAAACTTGTACAGTAAATTCAACCCATCCTTCTCTGTGGAAATGGAGTACTATCGCGTTTTTTTCCCCAGCACTTCCTGAATCTCTGCAGAGATCACTGAACTGCAGCGAAAGCAAGTGCATTGTTCTGACTCGCCCCTGCTCCCCCTTGTGAGCCGTGCTGGTGACTATTCGCAAGGAGTGCCACGCCAGCTGTGATACACCCCTGCTGATGTCAGTAGGAATTCAACTGTTTCTGCTGGTGTAATTGTGACCTAATATTTCACTGATAGTTCTGCATTTTTGGTGAATCTGTACTGAGATCATGTCTGACTCAAAAATTTCCTGTGGAGTACAAACCTGAGAATCCTGGTACTTTGGTGCTACCATCAATAATGTGGTATTTTACAGATCTTGTTGCATTTTATTTCATGCAATGAACCTGCAATGCTTTTGGACTTTAAAAGGAAGTAGAAATCCTCTCTGAGTTAAATTTTCAGCATCTGGCTCTGCCCTCATTGTCATCTGTAGGACTTATATTATTTAAATATTTTTTATTTGTAAATTATCTATCTTTAAATGCTCTTAGAGTTACAGTGATGAGAATTACAGAAATGTGCATTAATATTTTATATGAAGTTTCCAGTATTGGGATCTCTTTGAATACAAAACATTTGAAGATATTTGCTATTATTTTTGAGTGACACGCTGTATACCCACCCCAATTCTATTAGCTGATTGCTAATTTAAGCTTGATCTCTGGATCCATTTTACACAACGAGGTGTGTACCTTGAAGGCAGTTTTTCTGAAGAAAGCAGAGTAATATGTTCACATGTTGTAAACTTGGGGCCTTCATAGCAACAATTTTTTTTTTTTGTGAACTGGGTCCTTCAGAAATGATCCAAATCTTCTCCTACAAAACAGGATGTTTAGGCCACGTAGTAAGCAAAATTTCCTGTGGACTTTTGATTCTTGCAACTCATACTTCCCTAACTACAGCTACCTTAAACAGACTCACTGGAATAGTGGCTCAGTGCTAACTGAGATGATAGAACAAGGGGAAATGGTTTCAAACTTAAAGAGAGTGTATTTAGGTTAGATATAAGGAAAAAGTCTTTTACAGTGAGGGTGGTGAAACACTGAACGGATTGCCCAGAGACGTGGATGCGCTGTTCCTGGAGACTTTCAAGGTTAGGCTGGATCAGGCCCTGGGCAATTTGACCTAGCTGTGGATGTCCCTGTTCATTGCAGGAGAGTTGGACTAGACAGCCTGTAATGGTCACTTCCAACTCTAAGGATTCTATGATTTGGTGACTACTATATTCTGTAATTTAGATTCACACAGAATCACTCAGAAATCAAAGTACTGCTCAAAGATATTAGCACTGCCTCCTGCCCCTGAATCTATCTTCTTAGCTGGCAGCAACTCCCAGTTAAATAGGAAGCAGGGGCAGTCAGTATCCCTTACTCTATCCTGATGCCCTCTGCTGTAAGCAGGTGAATTCAGATACCTGTTAGATGAACAAAGAATGAGAATGCAGCTATTACCTTGCATGCTTACAGACAGTGCTGAGGGTGAGCAAGCATACTGTTAGTGTGCTTCTACCCACCAACATTTGTTCTTGCAGCCATGTTTACATGGCTTTGTGACCCTATTGGGTTTCTCCAGCTCTGTAGGGTGAAAGCCAGATAATCGCTCTGACACCTTCCTGGTCTTGGCAGCAAGAGCAGCTACTGACTGGCAGCCCACCATGGGATCAGCATACAAGAAGTATATGTAGGCTTATAGTCATCCATCAGCTCAGCATTTACAAGTAACAGAACTGAATTTTTTGCACTGCTTGTGTTTTCTAATACTAGCTGTACTATTTAATGCCACTGCCTGAAATACAGGCACGATACTTCACTGAACTCTCCATATACCAGCTGCATAAGGATTGTCAGGCCTCCAAGCTGTGGCAAAAAGGGCTGTGTCTCAGTCGTTGTCCCTGGCTTTCTGTATGATTTGTAATTGTACGAGACATTTCAGACAGCCCTATTTGTAGGAAAAAAGTCCCGTCACACTTTTTGAATGGGATTGCAGTCCTAATATCTGATTCACAGTTCAGCCCAAAAGTTGACATCCTGCAGCTCCAACAGGACAGGGTATTTGTTAACATTGCCTTATTCTTCTACATGGGCTGGAGGGTTTTTTTTTTTTTGTTGCTGTTCATTTACTTGCTGATATGCCGCTAGACACTGCCTTATTCTGTGGCAGAAGTATGTCTGACAGTAGTATGACAGTATTCTGCGGCTGTATGTCTGTGATAACTGTCATAGAAATCTGCTACTCATCTCACAGGGCTCTCGAGCACCTCAGGTCTACAGGTACAATGTACTGCAGAAGCAAATAAGGGGTCAAGAGTGGCCTGTTGTTAAGACAGCGGGCACCATTCTCATGAGCTGCCTGTAGCATCAAGTCACCACTGGCTTGGCTCTTTCCCTGTTAATTTTGGGGATGGAGAGAAGCAGAAGAAAGGGGAAAACATGTGGTATAGGCAGAGAAGATGCCTTCTCTGTTGTAGGGAGGAAGATCTGTTGCATCAGAGTAAATCCACATGTGAGCTAAAATCCTGCATCTGCTGAGCTCCTATGCTGCAAGGCTAAAGGGTAAAAAAGCACTTCTTTATTATTAGCAAGTGGGGTGCTCACAACTGGTTTATCAGCTGATAATGACCACCTTCCTTAATTTGTGGCTGTTGAGGTGAATAATCTTTTTCAAGCATGTACTGGTTTGCTTCACTATTCACTACACAATTGGAAGTGTTTATCATTTATGAGAAGCATATACTTAGAGGTTTTTTTTTTCTTCTTCTTCTTTTTTTAATGTTCCACATTAGAGGGCTTTGCATATTTATTAGCTGGCAGCAGCGAGCATTATGCACTTCTCATTTGTTTGTGGTTCCTGCACTTCCTGCTGTTAGCAGTCCAGCAGAAATCCAAAGGAGGAGTGTGCTGGCATAGTGGTGCTCAGCTGTTCTCAGTGGATTTCTGAAGAATGTTACCTTCAGGCAGAACTGTTTATGAATATGGAAGTTTACATGTCAGCAAACATAAATAGGCAGGGTGACTGAGGCATGCCAGTCTGTGCAGCCATCAGCTTGCTTTTCTCTCTGTGGAGCTACCACATTCCGTTCCACCCTGCTTCTTCTGCCACACAGCCCAGTGTTGATCCTTGTGTCGGGAACGGTCAGTGTTAGGTACTGCTTCATGCGCAGCATGTAGAGCTTTGTACAAAGTTACATACGTTTGCGATGGTGAGCACAGTAAAGCCACCAGGTGCTGCATTTTCCTTCCCACTTTGCACAACTGTTCCACCCCAGTGGACCCATCTTCTCCCCTGAGGACACAAGTTTCCAGGACTTGCACTCTGAGACGAAGTTGCTTTGTGTCCTCTCGTATTCCCTCACAGCACACCCGTCCTGTCTGGTAATTTTCGCTTTGTCTTTCCCACTTTGCAGGGCTGGGACAGCTAGCACACCCGCGGGTGGCGGTCCGCCTTCCCTCACGGGGCAGCGGACGCTTCCCGGTCACACAGGCGAACCCCACACCCGGGGGGTGCGCTGCCTTTTCCAGCCCACGGCCCGGGGGCGGGCGCTGGAGGATGCTGCGGCCAGGGAGCGGGGCGCGGGCTGACGCAGCGGAGGCCCCCGCCGCGGCAGGCGGGCGGGCGGCGGGGCG